GTTCAGCAGTGACCAAGAGGGATGTGGTCCCTGCTTCCACAGAGCTAGTTCAGGTAGGGCAGGGGGGAAAAGGGGACTAGATTAATTCAAATAGACACATGCCTGAAGAAAAATCCAAGAGGTAGAAAATGACTTTGAGCTGTGGAGGTAGGGGGAGGAGGAGGGTGCATTAGGAAAGGCCACCCCAGGTGACGTGTGAGCTGAGGCCTGCCTGATGAGAAGGAGCCAGCTGTGCATAGCTCTAAAGTAAAAGCAACTTGACAAGAATCACAAACACAAACGCTTGGAGTGCACTTAGCAAATCCTTTCTTGGGGAAGGCAGGCCTCCGGCTGCCCCTTGGGGTGGGTCAGAGCGTCTCTGGTGCCACAGAAGGCAGCAGACTGCTGGCCTTCCCAGGTATGACCCCAAGTGCACCCCTAGGGGTGTCTGTGTTGTCTTGGATTTCTCCCACTTCACCTCTTCTGGGGAGTCATGCCACAAGTTAACTCTTTGCCAGCTGAAGCTTCTCTCACAAGATGAGCGTTTCGGCTTGTTTTGTCCTCCAGCTGCGGAGCCTGTGCGGATCCGCCCCCCTCAGGGATCTGAACATCCAGGCCAACCTTCCACTCTTACCTTTACCCCAAAAACTCTGTCTTCTGGCCCCCTATTTCACTTGCTTCTCACGCCCATCACTGAGTCAGTCTTGCCATGATCCTTTTCCACAAAGAAACAAGATACATGTACCCTTCATGGTGGTGAAGAGAGACCCATGACCCTTGGGGGTGGGGTGGGAGCTGCTGGGGCACTCACCAGCCAGGGCTTGCCCCCTCACTCCTGCTAAATAAACAGAACCAGCACCAGCTTCCTGGAAGATCTTCAGCTTCTTGAAAAGACCTGACCCCGCCAATATCAAATCTTCATATCTAACCAACCAGAAGTCCTAGACAGGGAGTTCCAGCCTGCGGACACACCTGAGGTCCTGTGGTCACCTTGTTCTCAAAAATGTCTCGAGTCTGAGGCACTTTGGTGATATACACACCACATACCTAGACTCATGTGTTTTCTTGAACATGCTGCTTTTGACTGGTATTTTTTTACCTTTTGTAATGCATTAAAATCCCACACTGTTGTTCCCATTTAACAGAAAACTGAGGTTCCCACTGCCAAAACACCACTGAGGCTGGGAAGAGGGGAACTGGGACTCCCCATTTCCTTCCCTTGCACCCAGGAATGGGTTCCCCCAGCTCCTCTCCCCTAACCCATTGGGAGGCAGGGAGGGGTGGGGTGGGCAGAATGGGTCTCATGTGCCCAGACTGTGTCCCTCCAGGGAGAATGTGTTACGAAACCTAGCAGACAAGGCCTTTGACCGGCCCATTTGTGAGGCCCTCTTGGACCAGAGGTTCTTCAATGGCATTGGCAACTATCTGCGGGCAGAGATCCTATACCGGTCAGCAGGCAGGCCCTGGGCACGGGGGCTGGGGTGGCTGGCTGTGCCCACATTCCCCACTGCTTAGCATGGCGCCCTCTCTCCACCTCACTGCAGGCTGAAGATACCCCCCTTCGAGAAGGCCCGCACAGTTCTGGAGGCACTGCAGCAGCACAGGCCGGTGAGGCTGCAGGGAGGGATGCACACACCTATCAGTGCAGGCTGACAAGGGTCTGGGGGCTGGGTCAGGCGTCTCCAGCTTAACTCAAGCAGGTCCCTTCTCGGTTTCCAGCCTGTTTCCCCATCTCTACAATGTGTGTGCGTGGGGGAGGTGATGGGGGGCAGATGAAGAGTCCTGCCAAGCTCAGAAGGGGTCTGTTCCTCAAGGGGTCAGCTGCCTTTGGAGTGGCCCTGCCTCATACTGACATCCAGGTCCTACCCCTGCCTCTTCTCCAGAGCCCGGAGCTGACCCTGAGCCAGAAGATCAGGGCCAAGCTGCAGAACCCAGACCTATTGGAGCTGTGCCACTCAGTGCCCAAGGAAGTGGTCCAGCTGGGTGAGGCTTGGGAGGCAAAGATGGCCAGCTAGGTCTGCTTTGGCATATCGTGTAACCTGGGACAGTTCCTGCCCCTCTCTGGGCCTGGTTCCCTGCCTGGGGAATGGAAGTTTGTCAACCTACTCGTTCCTAAATGGACTAAGCCTCCTTCACGGATCTTCACGTGTCGGGTGTCTATGTCCCCTGAGCTGCCCCATGAGGCAGGCAGGGCAAGGATTCTTAACTCCAGGATGGGAAAGCCATGGCCCAGAGTGGGGAAGACACCAGCCTGAGGTCACACAGCTGGAGGAGGGAGAGCCTTGGCTCCCTGACTCAGTCCATCAGCTTGTAAAGCTGAGGTCTGAGCCAGGTCTAACTGGGCTCCCCCGCCTCCCAGCCTAAGTCAGCCCTCTGACCTCCGCCCGGCTCCTCTGTCCCACAGGGGGCAAAGGCTATGGGCCGGAGAGCACGGAGGAGGACTTTGCTGCCTTCCGAGCCTGGCTGCGGTGTTATGGCACGCCAGGCATGAGCTCCCTGCGGGACCGGCATGGCCGCACCATCTGGTTCCAGGTTTGGGCTCTAATGCTCACACAGGCAAATGGAGCCCTAAGGAAGCTGGTGGGATGGAAAGACCTGGGGTTGCCGTTCCTGAGGATCTAAGCTTTCCCTGTGCTATGCCCCTCCCCTCCTCTGAGTCCCAGGGTCCCAGCTAGTGGAGCAGCCCAGGGCAGGGTTACCTTGCTGTTGGCTCTGACCTGGGGGGGAGGGGACGGTCAGAGAGGCTTCCTAGGGGAGGGGCTTCACTGATCTGGAAGGACAGGTGTGAGTTCTGCCTCTCCAAGGAAAACTATCCCTGCCAGATTGACTCCTAAATTCTCCTGATTCCATTTTAGGGGGATCCTGGACCCTTGGCGCCCAAAGGTAAGCTACGCCTAATGTAATGAGAGGGAAAAGGACTAGTTGCCTGCAAGGGCTACAGCACCCTTCTCCATCCCAGTCCCCACTCCAACCCTTGGAGGCACTCCAGACTGGGAGCATGGGAGTCTAGAGAAAGGGGGCCGCGGCCACAAGACCCTCCAACCCCATCAGCAACGGTATCCTGCAGGGTGCAAGTCCCGCAAGAAGAAATCCAAGGGAGCACAGAGGGATCCTGAGGACCAAGTGGAGGTTTGTCTCCCTGCTCCTACCCCCTCCCTGTACCCTCTCCTGTCCTGGCTGCACTTCCCAGGCCAGGCTCTTGGGCAGCTCCTTCCCTTGACAATGGAGGGCAATGGTGGGTCCTAACCAACCTGTGCCCTGCTGAGCTCCTCAGGGACCCGTGTCTTCTCCACCCAGAACCCTCCACCTCCAAACAAGGCCCCTTCAAGGACACGAAGGGCACGGAGAGGCCTTCCTGAGCAGACTGCGGCCCAGCAGCCCGAGGGGACCAGCCTCCAACGGGACCCAGAAGCCCCCCGTGTCCCTGAGAAAGGGAAGAGGAGGAGGCAACCAGCGACCTCAGGTGGGCCTTCCTCAGCATCTTCCTCTAGGGAGGGAAGGGAGCCACCAAAACGGGCTCTCCAGGAGAGGAAGGGATGGCAGTGCGGGTGGGAGGAACACGTCGACAAAGGTGGTAGGGAAGCTGTTGGGACAGAGTCCTCAGCCTGGGGTCTGAGCTGCCACCTCACCTGTCCTCCCCACAGGCCGCCGCAGACCCCAAAAGATCAAGGCTGACACCCCATCCTTGGAGCCTGAGGAGACCTCGGCCTCTTAGCAGGAGGTTCTCCTTGCTTGCATCCACTCCTTCCTGCTGCCCTGGATCTGGGTCTGTGCGGCTTCCTGGAACTTGCAGGGGACTGGCTGCCCCTGGCCCTGTGGCCATTCCCTATACAACTATGATGTTTTTAATTGTCCCCATTGTCCCCATTTTTTAAGCCCATGTGAAAAAGGCTGTAATTTTTAGTAAACTGATAAACCTTGAACTTCTTGGGCTGGCTGCAGAAGATCTGGGAAAGCCAAATGTGGAGGGCCTGGTGCCCAGCCCTGGGGACAGGAGGGCCACTGCCTCAGCATGGCAGACTGAGCCCCATCCCAGGCCTCAAGGCTCTGGCTCTCAGGACAGTCTGCCTCTGCAGGGACAGCCCTTCAGAGGTGGTGCAGAGACCCACCCCGTCCCCCGGGGCAGCCCAGGCTCCTCCAGCTGTAGCTCCTCCAGTCCAGGATTCCTCATGTGGCTGCTCCCCTAGCCTAGTCCAGACTAGTCAGTGCTCCCCTCCTAGTGGGGACCAGCCAGAACCCACCCACCAGGCCTCCTCCCCAGCCCCAGGCCCTCTGCCTGTGGACACGGGGGAAGAGCTGCTGCTGCTTCCCCCCCACCGCCGCCGGCCGCACCACATGGCATGCGGGATCTTAGTTTCCCGACTCATCCCCTGCATTGGAAGCTTGGAGTCTTAACCGCTGGACCGCCAGGGAAGTCCCAGAAGAGATTCTTATATCATGGTCTTACAGTCAGCTTATGGTCACCGATATCCCACGTCTCTGTCATGGGGCTTGCAATCCAGGCCCTGTGCGCACAGATAACCTTAGATCTTGCCCCTGTCCCCAGATGCCTGGGGTAAAAACTTCCCCCCTCAATGCCTGAGTTTGGGCCCTGTGGGGACTGAGCAGGGGCTACCAGCAGGGTTCCTAAGCCAAGCGTTTATTGTTCATGAGGTAACTGATCCTTGCTTCAGGCTTGAGAGGCAGAAATGAGGAGCCCCCAAAGCCTTCCACAAACAAAACCCCACGCTCAGGGACTCAGCTCGGTGCAGGCTGCAGCACGAGCAACAGGGACTGCACTTGGAAGGGAGAAAAGGTGAGCTTCAGGCGGCTGTCCCGAAGGGGCAGGGGGCCAGCAGGGTCTCGGCGCTCCAGGAGGTCACAGCTGGAGAACAGGAGGGACCATGAAGGCCCCGCGAGGGCAGGACTCCCACTCCCACCCCGCACCCCCACTCACAGGACGGCCTCCTGAACCGGCAGCGATGTGTGCAGCCAGCAGTCCACGTGGCTGCCGTGGGCCTCGTACAGCCTCAGGACCAGCTTGCGGCCCTGGAGGCTGGTCTCCGCCTACAGAGGAAGGTGCGTGGTGGGCGGGGCCGAGGGCGGGCCCAGCTCGGGACCCCGGCCCGCTCCCCGCACCCCACCAGCCCTTGCCTGCTTGACGGTCTCCAACACGACTGCGGGCGAGGACACTGAAAAGGCGCTCCAGGCGGCGGCGGGTGCCGGGCCTGGGGCAGGTAGCGCCAACAGGGGGAAGTTGAGGCTGTAGGCAGCGGGAATAACGCCAGCGTCCTGGAAGGACCCTGGGCGCAGACCGGAAAGGGACGCGTGGTGGAAAATGAGGGTAGGCGCGTGGGACTGCTGGAGTGCTCCCCACTTACCGTTGGGGCAACCGAGGCTGAGAGGGGCAGAGAGGTATCGGGGCCGCAGCACTCACCCTCATGCGGCATCAGCGCGTAGGTGAACTCGTGGCGCCCCATGTCAACCGTGGCGTCAGGGGACTTGGGCGCCCGCAAGCTGGGGTGGGGAGGGTGGTAAGGGCCAGGCTGGAGCCGCCGAAGTTCTGTCCTGGGAAGACCGCGCTCCCATACCCGTCCCTGGGAGGCACCCCACTCACAGGGAGAGGCTGAGGACGCTGCCTCGCACTGATGCGCCATACTTGCAGTCATTGAGCAGAGCCAGCCCAAAGCCGTGCTCTGACAGATCCATCCAGCGGTGGGCCCACACCTGGAGGGTAGATCGGAGACCCACTTGGTGGCCCCGCCTCCTCCTCGTGCTCCAGAGCTCCTGTCAGTAGACTGAGGGAAGCTCTGGGACCACACGATTGAATGCCAGCTCTCACTACAGGAGGCCCTGCACACACCACACAACCTGTCTAAGCCCCAGCTCCTCATCTGGGAAAGGGGGATAAGGGTACTTACCCCACCAAATGGGCATGAATATCAGACTAAACAGAAAGCATTTAGCACCATGCCTGGCATACATGTCAGGAACCAGCAAATACTGATCATCATCTTCCTCCTCCTCACCCCATACCACACAACTAGTCCCTCCCCAGCCAGGGAGGATCCAAACCCTCCACCACACCCCGCCCCACACCACCCCACGTCAGACCTCAAATCGGGCCCAGTCCCAAGAGGTGTTGTAGTGGGTGGGCCGCTGCAGATGTCCGAACTGGACCTCAAAGGTGGCCTGGGGGCTCCGCACACGGGCAGGGAACTCCACCTTCAGGAACTTGTGGGCCTCGTGCCAGTGCACCTGTCGGGCGTGGAGGTAGGGGTGCAAGAGGAGGGACCCCTCCTCACCGGCCACACCTAGGGAAGATACCCACCACCCTGCCCCCTGCTACCTCGGTGTGGAAGCGGACATAAGGGCAGCCGACGTCCAGCACAACCTCTTGGCTGAGCTGACTATTGGGGCTGATCTGCAGCAGAAACCAGGCACTGCCCCGCACGCCACCCTGAGTGCCCACGGCCAAGGTCCCTGTCTGGCCCAGCACTGGCTTCCTGTGGAACAGGGGAGTGAGGCGCTGAGCCAGGACGGCCTGGCGGAGGGGGCCCAATACTCTCGTATCCCACGCCGCCCCTGAGTCCTGCCCACCCCGCACCGTGTTTCTAGGTGGTAGTCCATGACGTCCCACGCGTCCCAGTACAGGGGGACATCATCGAACAGCACAAACTGGTTCCCCACGGCACCCTCAGCAATGGCCTCCCTGGAAGGACACGGAGACTGGCGCTTTACAACTGTATGACCGCAGTCTCTCCAGCTGTGTGAGGTGGGTGGGGCGGGAGGTAGGGTGAGTAGGCCCAGAGGACAGGAGACTCCTAACCCAGCCGGCCCCATTCCATGTGTAGGTCCCAGTCCTGAGCCACCTGTGGGCTACTGTGGTCAGCTGTGGCCAGGGGACAGAGGGAATGAGAGGTCTGGGGTCCCCTACCAGGCACTGGGAGAGGGCTGTGAGGGGTTAGCACCTGCCGGAGGCCACCAGCACCAGAGACGTCAGGCGGCCAGTTGGGTCCAGCCTCACCCGGATGATGCCGTTGTCCAGAGTCACAGAACCGTCAGTCTTGGTGGGAGGGGGCCTTGAGGCTAAGTCTGCAGAGGCTTCCCGCCACCAATAGCCCGCCCAACCCCAGCCCCAGCCCTGCCTTGCCACCTGCTCCAGGTTGGGGAGCTCAGAAGCCCCATGTTGTCAGGGACAGCCCAGGACAGCCAGCCCCCGCCCACCGCGACGTGCCAGCACTCACCTCCTGCACCACAAACACAGGCTGCTGGGGCAGCAGGGGCTGCAGCGAGGTGGGGGTGGGAGCAGGAGCATAGCCCATGCTGGGCACTGTCACCAGAGCTGGGGATGAAGCCTGGGCATCAGCGCAGCCTCCTTCACCTTCCAGTAACCATACTCGGGGCGGGGTGGTGGACTGGAGGGGGTTAATACTAGTACTCTCTAGCCTGGGGCAACCCAGGGCAGAGATCCCCAGGGGAATGTCCCCAACTCTCGATTTGGCCTTGATCCCTCCTGCTACAGTAGCCACCCATCTCCCCAGCTCATACCTAGGCAGTGGGCCCCACCAGGCCTGGGCAGGGCCAACACTTCAGTGCGCTTCCAGGGCAGTGTGTTGACAATGAGGAGGCCCTCAGGACCTGGCTCCCCAGCGCAAAGGGCTGCGGCTGCAGCACTGAGCAGTGTGTTGCCACGGGAATGGATGTCTGGGGAGAGACTGGCTGGTCATGGGTGGGCAGTGGGTCTGGGTGACCCCTGAATGTCCCACAGGAGACACTCTACCCTGGGTGCTGGAGAGCGGCGGAAATGTTGTCAGCCTCACCTTCGTAGTGGCACATGGCTTCCTCTGCCACCAGCTGGATGCAGCTTCCAGTCACCACGTCGTGGAACTGGTTCAGAAGCAGGAGCCTGCGGGGGCCAAGGGCAGGGCTGCGGAAGGCTGGGAGGGAGGGGCAGCCGCAGAGGTGTCTGGGGTGAGGTTAGTGGGTGGCAGGGGGCAGAAGACAGGCTGACCTCCAGAGGTCCTGCAGCTGGGCGGCCGGGTAGAGGAACTGGGCACTGCGGGCCAGGGCCAGGCTGCTAAGCAGCTCCACGTCATGCAGGATCCGCTCACACTCCCGGTTCCCCTTCTTGATCTGAGCCCAGGGTAGGGAGAATCAGTCTAGAGTCTGTTCAAGCATCCCAGGGCACCTTCCAAAGCCTTCCCTTGCTCAGAACCCCTGGTGGCTCCCCAGGGCCTCTTGTGAGTTATCTGCCCCAGATGCCTCCCTCCTCTCCCCTCAGCCCAAGCCCTTCCTCCCTCAGGGATGCTCAGTCCTGCCTCTTCTAGGCTCCTGACCACCCGGCTCTTGCACTTCTCTCCTCTCAGCTCCTCTGTGGAACACAAGCCTCTTCCCCCAGGTCTGGGCTGGGCTCTGTCCCCTGCTTCCTCCTCTGACCCTCTGGGCCTCTCAAGGGCACGCCCTCCCCATTTGGCTCAGCAACCAGCTCCTGACCTGGGCATGGGTTGTATAGGTGCCATTATGTAGCTCCAGGAAGAGCTCTCCGACCCACGTGCACAGCTGCCCCGAGTGGCCCTCCAGCGCCGAGAAGAGTTGCTCCGGAGAAGAGAGCTGCACCCTGAGGGAGACTGCAAGCCTGGGTCTCCCAGCTTGGCCGTGTGATTCACCCTTCTTCCATGCAAGGGTGACAAGAGATCCAGTCCCGACAGAAAGGAGCCACGCCCAGAGAGCTCCCTGTCCACACAAAGCCAGTTCTGGACACCCCAGGAGAGTTTGCTCTCTAGTAGGTTTAAGCCCCGTCCCACCTTTAGCTTTCCCCTCACCCTACCACCAGGGTAGAAGTTGGGAGGAGCCCATGGTCCGGGATTGGAGGGGGACAAGGTTTAGGGGAAGTGTCGGGCCCAATATTTGAGCAGAAGGAAGGACTAAGGGCAAGGGTGGA